CCCACTTTATTATTTTTTTATGTTTTCTTTTGCAACATGGCTAATATGGAAATGTCTTATACAACTTTACATGTATAATTGATATAAAATTGTTTGCCTTCTCAAAGTGGGGGACAGGTGGGAGAGAGGGAATTTGGAACTCTAAATTTTAAAAAAAATGAGTTAAAATGTTTTTATGTGTAATTGGGAAATATTTAATGAAATAAATAAAAATAACTTTTAAAACTTTTTTAAAAACAAGCTCATAGACCCCAGGTGAAGCATCTCTGTGCTAGATTGTCTCTAAGGTCCTTCCAGCTCAAAATTTATGATAACTATGCCACACTTGGTCATCCAAGTACAGACAAAACGACTAAACAAGTGGGTAAAGGCAATGAAGAATTGGTGCAATAGCTCTCTGAACTGAGGTATGCAAGCAGTCTCAGCATCTAGGAAAAAGTAAAACATCATGTGCCTTAAATGGGGATACAGTGGCCAGTGAAGTCACCAAAGTCTTTGGATCAGTGCCTGGCACATAATAGAGATATTTAATAAATGCGTGTTGATCTCTGACTAATTGTTAGATAAGATAGCATGAGGGCCCTGGGGCTCTCTGGAACCAGGCCAAAGAAGTGCTGAAATCCTAGGGAAGCTGACCAAAATCAACATCGCCAAAGGCCCTGGGGATGGATCTTGGGTTTGCACTGGGAGAATTCCTACCAGAATTAGCAGAGAGGACGGTGAGTTTAGGCAAGAGTAGAGGGGCCTTTTATGATTTGTTCACATCACAGGCCAGCACTGTTTTAAAGATGGCTCATGGGTGACTGGGTGATCAGTCTGTGTAGAATCAGAGATAGGGGAGGGTAGAAAAGAGAGCCTGCCAGGAGATAGGGGCTGAATAAGAGCTATATGGAAGGAGGAGCCTTCTCAATTCAGGCCAATCTGATCCATCTCCCAAGAAGTACAGATGCCATGACAACAGCTGGAGGAGAAGCATATCTTGCTTGTTTGTCTCAGTCACGCTTGGCAATTCCCCAGGAGATAGCATCTCTCAAGAAGTCTATTAGAGCAGCACTTCTTAAACTGTGGGTCGCGATATGGGGTTGCGGAACTAAATATGGGGGTTGCAAAAAATTTGGCAACAGTAAAAGGTTTCTGAACGCACACCAACCAAAAATTAATTCAAAATCAAACGTGTAATGAATCCAACGTGTTTTTGGCACCGCTTGTCTGTGTTTCATCATGTAACTTCACTGCAGCCTTGGTTCTGAACACACAACATGCATGTTTGTGCTGTGCATGCTGTCACACCACACAACACCAGCGAACACTACCAGGAACACCTCGACTCAGATTCGAGACTATTGTATGTTATGAATTGCAATGTTTTTCCTGTACATACAGAATCATTAAATGAATTTTGGCCTGGGATTAGGACAGAATTTCCAACAATTTCTGAAATGGCCCTGAGTGTTCTTCTGCCATTTTGTACTGCATATTTATGTGAAGTGGCATTCTCAGCATTGATGATTATAAAATCAGAATATCGATCAACTCTGAAAAACATTGAAGATGCTCTACATCCTGCAGTATCAAATATTCTGCCAAGACTTAACTCTTTATGTAAAAATAAACAACATCCATCTCATTAGTATGCAAATTTGTTTTCATCTTTAATAAATGGTAAAATTATGTGTATACCAAAGAATTGTTTTAAAATACATTTCTTAATGATTTATTATCAGTAAATGTTTGATTTATATACCTATTTATATACTTATATACCCAAGGTCACATAAAAATTTTATGGGTGTGGGGCAGCTAGGCGGTAGAGTGGATAGAGTTCTGGCCTTGGAGTCAGGAGGATCTGAGTTCAAATCTGGCCTCAGATACATGACATTTACTAGCTGTGTGACCCTGGGCAAGTCACTTAACCCCAATTGCCTTACCAAAAAGAAAAAAATAATTTATGGGTGAAAAGAGGTCATAAGTGGAAAAAGTTTAAGAAGCCCTTTATTAGAGTAAGGGCCTTGTCTTATCTAAACTTTGTATCAGTTCCACTACTACATGCACAATGTATACAGCAAGTGCTTGATAAATGTTTGTTTAATTGGATTGGATTGATGTGTTTCCCCAGAAATTACTCGTTTTCCTTAAGTGGTTAGTGAGGCTTTTCAGATACTCTGACAAAAATTCCAGATACCATACATAGGCTCTGCTAACAGAACTCATTGTAATCTATGTGTGATTGACTGCATGTACATATCAATCACTTTCAATCTCTGCTTAAAGGCCTTTTTTAAATTCCACGTTTTTTTTAATGTTCTAAATGTAATATTTCCTAATAAAAGCACTTTTACAGAGAAGTTTCTGAGGATGACCATTTGCATCAAATGGCAGTTTGTAAAAGTTTAGTGTTGCTATGAGCATACTTGGCTGTTAAGGAAGATATTATTATATTCAAATTGCAAGTGACATCTGGCAGAGCAGTCAGTAGCTAAAATAGGGAATCTTAATAGTTTTTGTGCCAAGGACTCCTTTGAAAGTCTGGTGAAGCCTACAGACCCCTTTTCAAAATTATGTTTTTAAATGCATAAAATAAAAAATACATAATTACAAATGAAATCAATTATATTGAAACATGGTTACCAAAAATGTGTTGTTGTTTTTTTTAAGTTCACGGACCCCACATGAAAAACGCCAAGCTAGGGGCAGCTAGGTGGCGCAGTGGATAGAGCACCGGCCCTGAAGTCAGGAGAACCTGAGTTCAAATACGGCCTCAGACCGAATGCTTGACACTTACTAGCTGTGTGACCCTGGGCAAGTCACTTAACCCAAATTGCCTAAAAAAAACTCAAAAAACAAAAAACAAAAAACCACCAAGCTAGAGTTTAAGAGAGAAATTATGGCCAGGTAGATAGATATGACATTTGTCTCTACAGAAGTTATCTCTGAACAGTTGAAGCTGATGCAATCCTTAAGGGAGATAGTATAGAGTGAAGAAGACCCAGGACAGAGCCTTGGGAGATGCACTCACTTAGCAGGTGGGTAAAAGATGAGGATCCACCATAGGAGATTGAGAAGAAATGATCAGATAAATAAGAGATCCAAGAGAGAGCAGTGTTATGGAACCCAAGGAAGCAGAGTGTCCAGGAGGAGAAGGTAACAGTATCAAAAGTTACAGAAAGATCAGGCAGAATGAGGACTGGGAGAAAGTCACTTAATTTAGCAGTTAAGGCATCATTAGTCATCTTGGAGGGCACTTGCAGTAGAGTGAGGTGAACAGATTTTCCAAAGCCAGAAGGCAAAGGACTAAAAAGTGAGTAGAAAGTAAAATTATATAAATCTTTCAATGGTTTGGCTATGTAAGAGAGAAGAGATATAAAACAATAGATTGGAAGGATCACAGGGTTAATTGAGGGCTTTTTAAGGATGGGGAGAACCTTGGCATCTCTGTAGGTGGCAGGGGAAAAGCAAGCAGATAAGGATGATGATTGGAAAAGAGAAGGAATGATCTAAAAGGACAAGTTTCCAAAAGAAACAGGAGTTGGCAATCCAGAACACAGTGGAGGAGTTGAGTTTGACAACTCCTAAGGACTGCCTCTTCAACAGAAAATGGGATAAAGGAGGAGAGAACAGAATTGAGGAAGAAGTTTCAAACTTTGTGGCCTGCAAAACTCATGAGGAGCCTAAACCAGATTGAAATGTACCTGGGAAAGGTTTACCAAAATAAACAAAAATTTAGTTTTTCTTGTTGTTGAGTCATGTCCTCTCTTGTGACCCCATTTGGGGTTTTCCTAGCAAAGATCCTAGAGTAGTTTGCCATTCCTCTTCTAGCTCATTTTATAGATGAAGAACTGAGGCAAACAGGGTTAAGTGACTTGCCCAGGGTCACACAGTTAGTAAGTGTCTGAGACCAGATTCAAACTCAGGAAGATGAGTCTTACCGACTCCAGGCCCAGCAGCTCTATCCACTGTGCCACCTAGCTACCCCATATAGATAATGTTAATTTGTGGTTTTCTAAGTCAACATGCAACCTGCAGGAGTCTGTTTCTATTTGAGTTGGATACCACTGGTCTGAAATATTGAATAGGTAAGAAGAGGGAACTCACTAATCTCAATCACCTCAGCTAATTAAGAGGCAAATTCCTCTGCTAAGAGAGTATAGGGAGGAGATGGGGTTGGAGCTTTAAAGATAGAGGAGAAAATTTGGAATAATCAGGAAGAAGAAAAGGATTGCCTTGCAGTAGTTGGGGTCAGACTGAGATTAATTAACATAAACTGGAGTAAACCTAGGCTGTGTGACTTTCTTCAGGAGCGTTCAGTACCACGTTATTAGGAATGGGGAGGACAGGTGGTAAGAGCAACCCAACTGGATTTGGACAAGGTAAGACTAGCAGTAGGGGAAAGGGGGCAAGAGTTACAAGGGTCACTGGTCGTATGAGGTCCAAATGGCCAAATAAAAGGTCAAGAGTGTGAAAGACAGAAAAGAAGGCCAACATAAAGATGACGGATAGAGAGAACAAGAAGAGGTAGAAAGACTGGAGTCCATGGGGAGAATGAAGAATAGGCTTAGGAAGTATAAGGCAAAGAGAGAGATTGAAGGTTGGAAGGTGATGGTCAGTGAGAAGAACCTCAGAGTTGTAGATCCTGGATGTGGAAGAGTTATGAGTGATGGGTAGGACTCATACTTGTTTGGAGTGAAGAGGATGGTCCTAGAAATAAACGTAGAAGGTGAAGGAAGAAGCCATCCATTCCCTGAGGATGAGGGCTGACTTTTAGATACCACTTTATGATTTACAACAATTCTGTGAGGTTGGTGGTACAAATGTTGTTATTCCCATTGTGCAAATAAAGAGACTCAGAGGGGATTCTGAATTGGCTTCTTGCCACTAAACCATTCTGTTAACCATCAATTGCCACCTGGCTGTGCCTAGCCTCTACTTCTAAAAACAATTAAAAAAAAATACAATAACAGCACTTTAATGATGCTCAACATGGGATGCCTGGAAATACTCACTGTATCCCATTAAAGTGAATGCTCCTCCCAGCATGATGACAGTCTGCAGAGCATCTGTGTAGATCACGGCTGCCAGGCCACCTGAAGGGAAGACAAAAAGAATAAGGATGGAGGTAGGAGGGATTTACTCTGAGTGGTTTTTAGATATTAAAAATATATTCCAAGCATAAGCATCCCAGTGTAATCAATTCAGGAAAAAATGCTACCTGGTATGGACATTGACTTCATGGGAAAATGTAAGGGCTGGATCAATTGACTTGGTATGCTTGAAGGGGCTAGTTGGTGGGTGGGGTAGAAGAATGGGATCCGAGTACAGCACAGTGAAACTTTCATTTATCTCCTAATAAATGAAACCATCTTTGACTCTTCCCTCTTCCTCATTCCCCACATTTAATCTGATTTTAAGGCTTATCAATTCCACCTCTAAAATGCCACTTATTGTAATCCTTTCCTTTCCACTACTATTCTAAGTAAAGTTTTAATTCAGGACCTTATCTCTTGTCAGAGCCTCCTAATTGATCTCCTTGAAGTCTATATCTTCCTTAATCCATCCTTCACATTGCTTGCTGCTTGAGTAACTTTACTAATGCACTGCACCCATCACATAACTCCTCTACTTAGTGGCTCCTGATTGCTAGGTCCAAGATTAAATAAGAGGAGATTGGGTTGAATCACATTTGGGGAGGCTGGGCAGTCCTTTCAGTGATTCCCAGATTTTTACTGTGCCTGAAATCTATCTTCTTAACACCCAAATTCTCCTTATAAGGCTCTATGGTTGTGAAATACCAAACAATAAAAATCTTAGAAGAATCACAGTTTCAGGTGACCCAAAGTCAATGAGAAGACACATGGTAGCTATTACTAAGATGACTTGTAAGAGAAAAATGTCATAAAAGACACCATTAAGGCCATGTTGCTAGAAAAAGGACGTAGGTAGGTCATATAGTGACAGGGAAAGATAACAGATGGATCACCCATGTGCTGTACTTGTGAAGCATAAAAATAACCAAATGAAAGCCCCCAGTAGATTGGGCTCTCCAATGGAGGACTTATGGGAAGGAAGGATGGAAAGAAGGGAGGGAGAGAAAAAAGAGAAACAGAGACAGAGAGAGAGAGAAGAAGGAGGAGGAGGAGGAAGGATATAAGGAAAAAGAAGGGAAGAGAGAAAAGAAAGTGGAAGGAAGGATGAAAGAAAAGAATAAAAGAGAAGAAAGGCAGAGGGGGAGAGAAAAAAGGGGAGAGGGAGCAAATGAAAGAGGAAGAGAGAGAGAAAGAGGGGGAGAGAAGGGGGAGAAAAAAGATATGGGAGAGAGAGAAAAAAAGAAGGGGAAGAGAGAGAAAGGGGGGGGAGAGAAAGAAAGATTTATTAAGTGCCTACTTTGTGCAAGGCACTCCACTACCTCATTTAATCTCCACAACAACCCTGTGAGGTAGGTGCTACTATTGTCCCCATTTTACAGATAAGAAAACTAACACCCAGAGGGGTTCAAAGATTTGCCTAGAGGTCACATGACTAGTAAATATCTGAGGTCACATTTGAACTTGGGTCTTCCTAACTCCAAGCCCAGTACTCTGGCATTGGAGGAGTTACAGGTACCCCAAAGTTATATCTACACCCATAAACAAAAGTTTATGGGTCCATTAAAATGAATGAATGAGTTGTCCTAAGGAGACTGTAAAAAAAGGAAGATAACTCAATTTAATTCAAGCATTTATTAAGTTCTGAACATCTGTAAGACCTGGAAGACTAAGGAGAGAACCTTGGGGAAGGCCCACAATTAAATAGAATGTTCAGGTAAACAGCACATGGATAGACCTGTTTGGCTGAAGTAGGGTGTTTTTAGGAGAATAGCATAAGCTAAGATTAGAATGAGATGTGGAGGCCATATTATGGAGGGCCTTGAATAACAGGGCTGTAATGGGAAACTATTGAAACACCATGAGCACTCCTTTAGGAAGATGAATTGGACAGCAATGTGTGAGATAGATTAGGATGAGAATAAGTAGCAGGTAGATAAGTCAGGTACACACTTTAGAAGGCCATTTGCCATAATTCGGTAAAGACACAACATTGTCCTGATTCTCCTCAGAGCTGTGTTTTAGAGCAGGAAGAGATTTGGGAGATCTCCTAGCCAAAGATGGGGAACCTGCGGCCTCAAGGCCTCATATGGCCCTCTAGGTCCTCAAGTGCATCCCTTTGTCCAAATCCAAAGCTCGTTCCCCACTCCCGTACCTAGCCCAATCCCTCTACACGCAACTTTTACAGATGAAGATCCTGAGGTCCAGAAAGAGGATGCGCTACATCTATAACCACACATGCTCAGGCAGAGGGGATAATTTTAGGGGAGGAGTACACACATCTTCCCTTTAGACCACATAGAAGGGTGAGAGGACAGTGAGTGGTTCCAGACTTATCAAGGAAGGAGGTGACCAAATAAAAATCTTCCTGAAAGGCTTGAAGAGAAATGTTCTTGGACCCTAAAAAAAACCTGAGGGCAATATCTCCCTAGCTTGTTGCACAAAGTAGAATGTAAACAGGAAATGGGATTTTTTTCCTTTTTTTTTTTTTCTTGTATCTGTATTTTCATATGGCACATTTAACCTCTAAAATATCTTTCATCTCCATCCTCTCCTTTCCATTTCTACTATAAATATCTTAATTCCTGGCACGCAGTGCTTAATAAATACTTGTTGAACTAAACAGAAGGTATGAGCATTAGAATGGTGAACAAACTCTCTCTGAAGATGCATGTTGCATGTGCCCACTTTTAAGACTTGGGGCAAGTCGCTTAACCCTAATGGCCTGACCAAAAAAAAAGGGGGGGGGAGGACCTATTTGTACAAAAATACAGCAACTCTTTTTCTAGTGGCTAAGAATTGGAAATTGAAGGGATGCCCATCAATTGAGGAATGACTAAACAAGCTGTGGTATATGATTGTAATGGAATATTACTGTGCTATAAGAAATGACAAGCAGTATGATTTCAGAAAAACTGGAAAGACTTACATGAACTGATGCAAAGTGAAGTGAACAGAACCAGGAGAACATTGTACACAGTAAAAGTAATAATGTTTGATGAAGAACTTAGCTATTCTCAGCAATATAATGGTCCAACACAGTTCTAAAGGACTAATGATGAAGCATACTATCTGCCTCCAGAAAAAGAACTGATGTTGATTGAATACAGACTGAAGCATGCTATTTTTCACTCTCTTTTTTTTCTTTTATTCGAGTCTTTTTGTACAAAATGACTAAGGAAATGTTTTACATACTTGCACATGTATAACCTATATATAATTGCTTACTATCTTGGGGAGGGGGGTAGGGAAGGAGGAATAAAATTTGGAACTCAGAACTTTAATAAAAATGTAAAAAAAAAAACACTCTTGTGACATTGGAAAAGTCACCTCAACTTTTTAGGCCCTGATTTTTTTCATCCGTAAGATGAGGGCACTGAATTAGATGACCTCTAAGGAGTCATCCATCTCTAAGACCTATGACCACCCCAAAATCAAATATTTCTTATTATACCAGGGAACAATGGGCAAATAAGTGGCTTCACTGATCTGAGCCTCATGTTCCTTCTCTGAACAAGGACCATGATAAATAACTTGACCATTTCTAATAAATGGTATTGCACTTTCAATGTTGGGAAGGGACCCTGATTACCCATCAGACAACGGTGTTGGGTAGGAGGGTGCAGAAGTTGTTTCTGGCAGAAATTGCTTGAGTAGCCTGGACAGCACCACATTAATTCTAACCTGAGACTTCCCAGTGTCCTCAGCCATACCTGCTACTGTATACAGAGCTGTAATTGCCAACAGCCCCACCACCGCAAGGTACAGATTCAGATGTAAGGATTGCTGGATAAAGATGGCTCCTGCATACATGTCCACCTGAGGAAATAAGATAAGTAAGATCTTAGAGGTAGAGCAGGAGGTCCATCTAGCTTAGTCCTCTTATTATACATGAGAAACCTAAGGTGTACAAAGAGGTTGACTTGCTCAGGGTGTCAGTGATGAGATTTGAACTCTTTCTGATGTCGTGTCCAGTTCTCTTTCCGTTCTATGCTTCCTACACAAAGGAAAAACTGCTTCTTCTTTCCCTCCTTCCCTCACACGGTTTGTAAATTCACATTTTCTTTCATCCCTTCTGCTGGGTGAACCAACAATTCATTTTGATTGACAGTCAACATCTTGCTAGAATTAAGGTTAGCGCCCTCTCCTGAGGTCCCATCATTCTTCACCAACACCTGGACCCTGTGGTTGTTGAAATGAGTCGTTCCCTACCGAGGGGCCCTTTCTTTGTTCCTTAGCACGTTTGATTGCTCGAAGGACGCATGAATGTGGGAGGGTGGTTACAGGGAACAGGGAGCCTTGATATTCGATTTTCTGATACCCAGGTCACATGACTTCACTAAGGTCACTTCTGTGGCACTGCCTCAGAGTATGATCAGCTAAGGGAGCTGACCCTGGGAATGATCTAACCCCTATGAGGAAACTAGGTCCAACCGAGTAAGGACTGGAAATTAATGGCTGGTCAGTAGCTCATGAGGCTTCACGAAGTTTTATCTTCACATCAAGCCAATGAATAAGACAGCTGTCTAGCTACTTTTGGCCACTTCCTGGAAAGAGAAGAATCTCTGTCACCTACTTCCTCTCCCACCCTCTCTTCCTATTCTTCATCTTTATCTTCCTTCCTCCTCCTTTTCTTTCCTCCTCTTCCTCTCCCATCCCTTACTTTTCCTTTCTTCCCTTCCCCTCTCACCCCACCCCCACCTTCCTTTTTCACTTTCTTTCTGAAGTGTAGTTCCTAGTCCCAGATAGGAAAGGGCACTACTTAGAAAAGAGGAGATGCTCATATAGAGGGTACTGCCATCCAGAGAGCAGGAGAGTGATTGGAACTTGACCTTTAATCTTGTGACCATATATTCACCTGCACCAGTTGTGAGTGATCCACACCTGGCTTTTGACAGTGACTTGGTCTTTGTCCTTGGAAGGATGACTGATAAGGGAAGGCTTTAGGAAAGTGTCATTCATGTTCTTACCGAGATTTTGGTGAAGATGTAGATGAACAAATAGAGAACAGCCAAGAATAAGGGAATCCGCTTGCCTCCAAATCTCTTTCGTAAGTACTCGGGCATGGTGGTGACCTGGGAGAGGAGGGAAGATAGATTTGGTATTAGATGCTCCATGGTTCTTTGGCAATATAAAAGCTAACTCATAACTCACTAAAGTGAGGGTCCACACTCACAGCAGAGCTCCCTTGCTCCAAAGCATAGACTACTGAGCTCCCAGGATCTCAGAAAGACAGTAGTAGTTTCCCTACTACTATGGAACAGATCAGAGAGGAAATGGGAGAAGTCAGAGGAACAAAGCAGCACCAATTAGTTGGGTCCCATGCTTGACCAAGCAGTTGGATAAAAAATTTAGGGAGAAATGAGGGAGGAGATGGGTCCCCCTGGTACTTTAAAAAAAGGGGGGGGATTATAGATTTAGAGCTTAAGGGGACTTTAGAAAGTGACCTTTCTCTAATCAAAACCTGCAACTGGTACTCCAGGCTGGTTAGTTTTGAATCCCTTTCCAGGAGAGGAGGTATCTTTGTGGAGGCTCAGGGCACATTAGTTTCATACTATTGGTGCATATTTGAGAGATTGATCCAAGGATGTGTAATTGATGACCACTCTTCCCCATTGCAGCAATGGGAGGGAAGGCCACATGGACTGATGGAAAGCATGCTGGAATTTGTGGGAGTAGACATGTCTTGGAGTCTTGACCTTGACGCTAACTTGCTATGCAAACTCTAGGATTAATGGAGTTTCATGTTGAAAGGGTTCTTAGGACCAGAGAAGCAATGATGACATATGCTCATTGTACTCATCTCTGAAACAAGGATGATAGACACTCAATGTGCAGAAACAGACATTCTTGGATATGGACAATAGGGGGATTTGTCTTGCTTGACTATGTATATTTGTTAGAGGGGCTTTGTTTTTGTTTTCCATTTGGGGAAGGTGAGAGGGAGATGGGGATTAGTGGTGGGGTTATCAAAAAGAAAAGGAAAAGAAAGAAACAACAGTCATTGAAGAATTTAATAAAATGCACAGAAGAGAGCAGAAAGAAACAGACAAGTATGACAGCTTTGAAAGTTACATATATTTATCTTGTCCAGGGGTGGGGAACCGGCGGCAAAGGGCCACACTTAAGGGCCTAGAGGACCACATGTGGCCTCAACTCCCCACTCCTGTTAACCTATATTTAAAGGAAAAGTAAGCTGTATGTAATAGAGATGGGCAGTTTCATGCTCGTTTTCTCTCTACTTTATGTATGGAAATGGTCATTTTATTGGTCAGAATAAAAAACAAACACTTTTTTTAAAAGTAATGGGATCTTAGCAAGAGAATTAAAATAAAGAATAAAAAACACTTTTTTAAAAGGAAAGGGCTAGTTATTTTAGTCATATATATAAATATATACATATATTTATTATATATATATAGTTTAAAAGGAAAGGGCTAGTTATAACTAGCAATTGGCTAGTTATTTTACAGATGAGGAAACTAAGACCCGGAGAGGGGAAATGTGTCCAAGTTCACATGGGTATTGAGAACCAGAGTTGAAATTCAGGGGCAGCTAGGTGGTGCAGTAGATAAAGAATGGGACCTGAGGTCAGGAAGACTCATCTTCCTGAGTTCAGATCTGGCCTCAGACACTTACTAGCTGTGTGACCCTGGCAAGTCACTTAACCCCGTTTACCTCAGTTTCCTCATCTGTAAAATGAGCTGGAGAAGGAAATGGCAAACCACTCCAGTATCTTTGCCAAGAAAACTCCAAATGGGGTCACAGAGTTGGACATAACTGAACAACAACAACAATCTCTCGGTCTAAATTGAGTTTTTCCATGCTTCCTCTCTGGGAGATCAATAAATGCTTGTTGGATGAATGAACAAATGAATGGAAGAGGTTACTATCCCAATGTACTTTAACCTGAGGTCCTAATAACCTCCTCACCCCATCCCCACTCCCATCAGACTCACCCCTCCAGCAATGTAAATAGGAAGGAAGATCCAGCCCAGCATCAGCACAGAAAAGATACCCTGTGGAGGAAAGCATAATCAACCTTGTTCCAAGCTCTTCTAGAAACATACATACCTGGGCTACTGACTCAGAAATGATGTTAATTTGCACTGGGAAGAGGTGATAGGCTGAGCCTAGAATGGAACAGGGGAAGGAGGAGAGTAGTCTAGATTTCATTTGGAAAGCTACATTGTGCTTTAGAGGATCGGAAATTTAGAGGATTGGAAACAAGCATTTATTAAGTGCCTACTATATGCCAGGCATTGTACTAAGCCCTTTACAAATATTATCTCATTTGAGACTTACAACCCTTGCATGTAGGTGCTATGATTTATCCCCATTTTATAGTAGAAGAAACTGAAACAGACAAAGGCTAAGTAACTTGTCCAGAGTCTCACAGCCAGTAAGTGTTTAAGGTTAGATTTGAACTCAGGTCTTCCTGACTCTAAGCCCTGCTGATCCAAGTACTTTACATATCACTTTGCATCTAAGGTAATTGCTTTAGTATTTAACTAATATGAAAATATATCTATCTATATCTATATATATGTATATGTATAAAATTCCACATCCTTTGCTACTTTTTTATCTCCCAATTTCTCAAACTTTCCATTTCATTTCAGTGATATCTCCCTCATATCCTCACATTCTATTTTTTTTTGCTTTTTGCTAGGCAGTTGGGGTTAAGTGACTTGCCCAGGGTCACACAGCTAGTAAGTGTCAAGTGTCTGAGGCCAGATTTGAACTCAGGTCCTCCTGACTCCAAGGCCAGAACTCTACCCACTGTGTCACCTAGCTGCACATTCTAATTTATAGATTATTTAGCTATGGACATATCTCAGGTCTCCCTACTAGTCTGGAAGCTCACTGAGCTCAGAGTACCCAAACACTGACCAGTCCCCATAAATACTAGTAGCTTATAGCTCTTTGTGTCTCCAGCATCAAGCATAGTACATGACACATGATGTCCTATGTACACATATTACACATTAACACAAAATGTTGAAAGGATAAATGAATGGATGGACTGTGGAGGCAGGAATGTGGAACACTCTTCTTTCCCCTTCAAAATGATTTAGGTCATGATCTTGGCATACAGATGGACCCACTTTAAGAAACCCCACTACAGAAAGGGACAGAGTCAGAAAAACTTTGGAAGACTTGCAAGAGTTGATGCAGATTGAAGTAAGAAGAACCAGGGAGACAATTTAGAGAATGACTACAACACTATAAAAGAAAACAACTTTGAAAGACTTAAGAATAACGATCAATGGCAAGAACCAATCACAACTCCAGAAGACTGATGATAAATCATAGCTGGAAACTAAAGTGATGTTAAGACAGCAATAACAAAAAAAAAATCAATAGAAATTCTATTTCTATTAAGTTTGTTGACTAAATAAAATACTTACATTAAACTCATAAGCTGTTACGGAAATCCCCACAGCTGCTCCTGATCCAGCCAGGCCAATGAAATGCCCACTTCCTATGTTACTGGCAAAGAGAGAAGCTCCCACCTGTGGGGGGAAAGGTATATATTATCATGGAAAGGCTAAGCCCAGTGTCTTCAGTGCCTACATAACTCAGCCTGGGCTAGAGAGCTGAATAACCTAAGAGGTTATTGGATTTCTCGATAGCCCCTGGTCCCGTTTTTGCTGGTAGAAGAAGGTGATTTATAATCTTTGTTACGAAAAGGCCCCCAGGATAGAGTACTCATCCAACACTAACTGGAGAGGCACCACTGGGAAAGAGAGGCAGAGGGTTAAACATAATGGCTTCCAATAGCTATAATAGTATTGATGACCCAAGCAGCCATGGATGTCATGGAGTTATAGTGGGGCAAAGTCCCCTTGCTCTCCACTGATGAGTAAAGAAACTATGAGAGCCACTCTGACCCCGAGATTCCTAATGATGATGGGGATGTGGGGAAAAACTCAATCCATGGGCTCCAGAATGCTCTTTGATGTGTCTTAAGTGATCACCTTTAACCCTCACACCAAGTCACCACTACTTGGGACCACTCAGGATTTACCTGGGCTACCATCCTAATGTGGTACCTTGGAGTTAGAGCCAGAAGATGGACAAGTTTTCTCATTTTCCCCTTTCACCTCAACACATACATTCCCTGACTGGAGAAGGAAATGCAATGCTCACATCTCTGTTCCATTCAATCTGAGTCAAGGGGTCTATATTGCCAATCCAGGGAGTAGCTCCCTGTCTTCACTAGGGAGGCTTAGTTGGGCCCCAGCCCTACTCACCGGCCACCATATCATGTCCCCTCCAGCCAGGAAGTAGCCTTGGACCGTGTCTCTCTTGGTCTTCCACATAGACTGAAACATAAGGAGAGAAAGTCCATTCTAGGGAAGGAAACCACTTCTACCTGAGAGGAGTTGTCAGTGTGGCTGTGGTCCAAAACATGGTAATCAGGGGATGCCAGTGCCCAGGCTGGCTCCAGGGAATAGGTATGCCTTCTGAAGCAAGAGTGTTAAAGCCTGTGTAATCAACCAGAAAGCCCTCCACAATCCATTACCTAGAGCCCTAAATAGGACTTTTTAAGACCTAATGGAACGTCTAACATAGTTATGGAAAATAAAAAAATTTAAGTAAACCAAGGTAAGGGGCAAAGGGGATAGTGGCAGTGATAGAGAACTTCTATCTAATGCTATCTGTTAGATCCCAGCTAGAGAACCCCTGGGGGCCGAGGGAATGGTCCATTCTCCCTACTAAGCAACAGAGAGTCTGACAAAACACGCCCCCCAACCTTCCTACCAATGCCCCTTTCTTCTTCTCTGCTCCTGGCTGACACTGAACCCTTATTCCAACCCAGTAAGGGAATCCATAATTCTATTCCAATAAGACCTGTTTCCAATGGTGGTGTAGGGTTCATTTGGACTCTCTACTCTTGGCAGTGGACATGGATGTTCACACAACTTGGATGGGCATGGAGTCACAAATTACAAGCCTTTTGGTAAAATGAAGGGCTTCCATGCTTTACCATCTGTCCAGTTACTATGCCCTTCTGACCTGTAGCTGAACTCTCTTAAATCTCCCCAAATTAGAGTGTGAACTCATTGGGAAGAGGTACTGTCTTAGCACAGAACTGGGCACATAGTGAACCCAATGGATGTTTCATTCATTCATTCATTCATTCATTCATTCATTCATTCATTCATTCATTCATCTCTTCCCTTCAGAAGGCCCCCTTTGGTTGCTAGCCAGCTAAGCTGGCAGAGCCCGAGGGTGTGAAGGACCTGTCACAGTCTTTGCCTTACCCAAAGTCCCACAGCTAGGACAAACACAAAATACAGGATGAGAACCACAATGTCCACAGTCTCCAGTGTCTTGTTTGGAAAGGCCTCCAGGTCATCACGGTGGGAAGGCAGGGAGCTACTTTGAGTCCTCTCCATGGCCATCGTCTTTTGCCTGTCCTGCACAGTTGCATCTATCTGTAATAGATGGGAAGTCACAGAGCCTGGAGTTGGGGTTGGGAGCTCTAGGTCCTTTCCAGGTCGATAGTGGGGGAAGCCCCCAGCCTCTTCTAATTCAGACAGCATTTATTCCACTGCACACAACCCTAACACAGGGGCTGGTCAGGGTAGGGTAAGCAAAACAGAATGGGACACTTACCTTCAGGCCCAATTTGAAAAAGAATAGTTGACATTTCTCTAACTCCTTATGGTTTGTAAGGAACTCTGTATACATTACCTTATTCGATTCTCACAACACACGAGCCTCATTCTTGTCTCCCTGTCTTTGCTTTAGCAGGCCTCCAGGTCTCCGGTGCAATCCCTCCTTACTCCACCTCCTTTGAATCCCTTACTTCCTTTGAAATTTAGCTCAAGCATCACCTTCTTCATGAAGTCTTTCTTGATCTCTCCGCCTCCCCCAACCCTTATCACCTTTCGTATATACTTATATCAGTTTGTTTTGTCTCTTCCAATAAAATGTAAGCCTCCTGACGGCAAAGTCATTTTTATCTTTGTACCTATTATGCTTGGCCCATAGTAGGTACTTAATAAATGTTTGCTGATTAATTGAGGGAGGTAATACAGATATTACTAGCAGGTAGGTAGCACAGTAGATAGAGCACTAGACTTGGAGTCAGGAAGACATGAATTCCAATTCTGACTCAGGCACTTATTAGTGGTGTGAGCGTGGATAAGTCACTGAACTTCTTTTAGCTTCAGTTTTCTCATCCGCAAAAGGGGGATTATTGTCCCCATTATTATTATCAAAGGTCATTATAAATAACAAATGATGTAATGTTTATAAAGAGATTTGAAAATCTTAAAGCATTGTATAAATCGTAGCTATTTATTAGAATAATAATTATTATTGTCATCCCCATTTTACAGATAAGGAAATTTAGTCTCAGAAAAAGTGTTACTTGTTGAAGATGACACACTTAATAAGTGGCACTTCAACTCAGGTCTTTTGGTTCTAGTCGTATGTATGAGGGCGTTTCTGGGTTAGCAGAGTCTTCCATCTTCAACTTAGACCTTGGAAATTTAAAGACCTCATAAAAGCAACCCTGCTCAGGAGCTAGACCCTCCTCGTAGATTACAACTAGTTGATTTCCAGAGTGGACCATCCTAATCTGATACCTTATCATTATTCTTGCCTCCACTCAATTTCCTTCCATTGTCCTCAAAATCATTGCTAGACTCGCCTTTCTTTGACACAGAGGTGATCAGATCTCTTCTCCACTTAAAATTGTGCAAAGGCCCCTTACTACCACATTTGAGTAAAGTTCAGATTTTTTAGTCAGCCAATCAAGGTCTTTTAGCCTTTTTAAGGTTCAAAAGATTCCCAGAGACTATTAGAGCTGGAGAATCTTGGAGTTTGGAGGTTCGATAAAGCCCTTTGTATGTCAACGTTAAAGGAAGAGCACATAGATTATGGCTGTAGGGTTTGGAGAACCAGATTCAAGGTCCAGCTCTGCCATTTACTAACTATGTGACCTTGGACAAGTCTTTTCTCTCAGTTTCCTCCTCTGACAAAAGAAGTGGTTGAATGATCTCTAAGGGGTTTTTCAGTTTTAATACCCTACAACTCTGAAATGATCTCTCCTTCCACAAAATTCTCAGAGCACTTTGTGGGGACCTTTCCTTTGCCTCACCATATTCTGCCTTGTATCACAGTTTTTTGTATATCTCTTAATCTCCCTCCAACCACAACAAGGAAAAGCAATCTCTTCTAGGGCAGAATTTGTGCCTTGGTTCATTTTTGGATCTCTAGCACTAGAGGAAATGTCTCACACTTCATCAGTGTTTGATAAATGTTTGCTGAATTTCATGTAAATCACATGCAATTCAGCAATTCTGTGCTTTGCATCAGTGACTTGGGATTTTTGTTCTGATTAAATGACTCCTATGTTGGTGACTCCTATGGCTGGTGAAGGGAGGAAAGCACAACTTCAAGAAATGGGAACTAGATTTTGTGGAGAAAAGGGTTAAACACACATACACATGCCAATATGACTTTCCTGTTTCTTCTCTACTGGACTCTGCTATGTTTTGTAATCAACCCCACTACCATCATTTTATAGGCATTTATTATCATCTTCCTAAATGATTTTTCATTTGTTTGTTAACTTGAAATTTTCATTTATATATTTTGTTTTCATATCACCTACATTCACGCAGCATGTCCCAGAAGTCTTAGCATAGTTTAAAGCTATCAATGCTTAAGAGTGCATTAAGACATTTGGGACACCTTCCATAGCTCTAGGGCAGCAAGGTGGCATAGTGGATAGAACTCCATGCTCAGAGTCAGAAAGACTTCTCAAGTTCAAATCTAGCCTGAGACACTTACTAGCTGCACGACCCTGCGTAAGTCACTTAATCCTCATATATGAAATGAGCTGGAGAAGGAAATGGAAAATCACTCCAGTATCTTTGCCAAGAAAGCCTCAAATGGGCGGGCGGAGCCAAGATGGCTGAGTAAAAGCAGTGACTTGCTTGAGCTCTCCCCCAAACCCCTCCAAATACCTATAAAAATGGGTCTAAACAAATTCTAAAGCAGCAGAACCCACAAAAAGACAGAGTGAAACAAATCTCCAGCCAAAGACAACCTGGATGGTTGATCAGAAAGGTATATCGCGCCGGGCTGGGAGAGGAGCGTAGCTCGGCAGGCAGGTCACAGCGAACCTGGAGCAGGCCTCAGAAGACTGAATCACAGGCAGCTGTGGTAGTTTCTAGACTTCTCAACCCACGAACGCCAAAGCAACTTAGAAGACCAGTGGGAAAAGTCTGTGACTGCGGTGGTGAGAGAGGAGCACAGGATCCCAGCCCCATTCCTTGGGGTAGCAACTGCTTCCTGAGCTTCTGGCCCACAGACTGAGGGGGAATTGAGTGGCTGATCAAACGGGGATTGCAGGAATCTCTCTGCTGGTGCAGGATTCTCTTGCTTTGCCCATGCTTGTATCTGGGTCACAGTTCTAGATGGTTGTCCTGGGGCAAGGAGGAGCACTGGCATGGTGGAGCTTGTAGTGGCTGTGGAGAGGAAACCCTCCTCACAGTTCCAAGACAGAAAAGAGTGCTCATAGACCAGAGCACAGGCCAGGAAAAGAGTAAACACCTTGCCCTTGATCTTAGCACCTTGGAAGAACTGAAAATTTACAGGTCCCTAGAAGTATCTCTGAAAACAGCGGCACAAAACCCCTGAAGCTTGGGACAATACATTCTCCACACTGGACCTTAACAAAGAGTCTATAACTCAAGTAATTGACTGAGATCATGAGCAAGCAGTGCAAAAAGAGTTTATATATTATCTTACTTTGATGACAAAGAAGATCAAAACATACAACCAGAAGAAAACAATGAAGTCAAAGCTCCTGCATCCAAAGCCTCCAAGAAAAATATGAATTAGTCCCAGGCAATGGAAGAGCTCAAAGAGGATTTTAAGAAGCAAGTAAGAGAAGCAGAGGAAAAACTGAGAGTGATGCTAAAGGAGAACCAAAAAAATACCAAAGAAAATAACACCTTAAAAAATAGCCTAACCCAAATGGCAAACGAGGTCCAAAAAGCCAATGAGGAGAAGAATGCCTTAAAAAGCAAAATTGGCCAGATGGAAAAAGAAGTCCAAAAGCTTACTGAAGGAAATACTTCCTTAAAAAATTAGAATGGATAAACTGGAAACTAGGGGCAATTTGAGAAATCAATTCACTGTAACACTAATCCAAAGGAATGAAAAAATAGAAGAGAATGTGAAATATCTCATTGGAAAAACAACTGACCTGGAAAATAGATCCAGGAGAGAGAACTTAAAAATTATTGAACTATCTGAAAACCATGATCAGAAAAAGAACCTAGACATCATCTTTCAAGAAATTATCAAGGAAAACTGCCCTGATATTTTAGAACCAGAGGGCAAAATAGAAGTTGAAAGAATCCACCGATCACCTCCTGAAAGAGATCCCCAAAGGAAAACTACTAGGAATGTTGTAGCCAAATTCCAGAATTCCCAGGTGAAGAAGATATTGCAAGCAGCCAGAAGGAAACAATTCAAGTACTGTGGAAACACAATCAGGATAACACAAGATTTAGCAGCTTCTACATTAAGGGTCTGGAGGGCATGGAGTATGATATCCTGGAGGGCAAAGGAGTTAGGACTACAACCTAGAATCACCTATCCAGCAAAACTGAGTATAGTCCTTCAGGGTAAAAAATGGTCATTCAGTGAAATAGGGGACTTTCAAGCATTCCTGTGGAAAAGACCAGAGCTGAATAGAAAATCTGACCTTCAAATACAGGACTCAAGTGAAACATGGAAGAGGTAAACAGGAAAGAGAAATCATAAGAGACTTATTAAGGTTGAACTGTTCACATTCCTGCAGGGAAAGATGATATTTGTAACTCATGAGTCCTTTGTCAGCATTAGGGTACTGGGAGGGAAAAAAATTACATATATGTATAGATAGATAAAGGGCACACAGTGAGTTGAAGATGAAGGGGTGATATCTGGAAAATAAAATTCAGGGGTGGGAGAGGATTATACTGGGAGAAGGAGAACGGAAGAAGTAGAACAAGATAAAATATCTCACATGAAACAGACAAGAAAACTCTTTTACAGTGGAGCGGAAATGGGGGAAGGTGAGAGGGAATGAGTGAATCTTATTCTCATAGGATCTGGCTTAAGGAGGGAATAACATACACAATGGGATATGGAAATCTATCTTATACTACAGGAAAATAAAGGGGGGAAGGGGACAAGAGAGCAGGGGGTTTGTGGAGGGGAGAGCAGATTGGGGGAGGGGATAATGAGAAGCAAACACTTCTGAGGAGGGACCCGGTCAAAAGACAGAATAGAATAAAGGGAGGGGTAGGATAGGATGAAGGGAAATATACTTAGTTTTTCACAACATGACTGCTATTGAAGTGTTTTGCATGACTACACATCTACAGCCTGTATCGAGATGCTTGCCTTTTCAATGAGGGTGGGTGGT